CTTTTCACTCTTTTCTTCCTTTTTTTTCTTAATGAACTTCAGAGAGATGTTGTGAGGGGGTCCTGCTCTGTCCGTGCTCCAGACCTGAGTCTGGGACACACGGAGGAGGCTCCCACAGATCCAGCTTCCAGTTCAGCCCCAGAGGAGGACACAGTTAGATCCAGTTGTGTGAAAATATCCTCTGCAGACCAAGCTGAGGTGAGACAGAAGCTCCCCCTGGCTCCATTCACACAGTGAGGGAGCCTGAGGGGCTGTGCAGGCTCCAAACTTCCCTTTTCTTGTTGTTTTCTTGTTGGTGACTCAGCTCTCAGCAGTGCTCTGGCGTGTGCTCCAAACTGGCCTTTCCTCAGCTCCATGTCCCATCCAACCTCTCCTTGGACACCTCCAGGGATCCAGGGGCAGCCACAGCTTGTCTGCCCAACCTGTGCCAGGGCCTGCCCACCCTCCCAGCCAGCAATTCCTTCCCAATATCCCATCTCTCCCTGCCCTCTGGCAGTGGGAAGCCATTCCCTGTGTCCTGTCCCTCCGTGCCTTTGCCAAAAGCCCCTCTCCAGCTTCCAAAATAAACTCCCCGCTCCTCCTTCCGCAGGGTTTGACTGTGAACCAAAAGCACAAGAGTGAAATAGCTGGATGTGATAACAGGCAAACAAACCTCTCCCATCTTTACAGGGAACAATGTGGAATCATCAGTCACTTCTTTAAGAATCCAGAATCCCTGAGGCTGGAAAAGCCCTGCAAGGTCACAGAGCCCTCTCTGTGCCCCATCCCCACCTTGTCCCCAGCCCAGAGCACTGAGTGCCAGGGACACCTCCAGGGCTGGGCACTCCAAACCTCCCTGGGCAGCCCCTGCCAGGGCCTGACCACCCTTTCCAGGAGGGAATTCCTCTTAAGGTCCAACCTAAAAGAAACCAAGAAAGAAGCAACCTCTTGGTGCCAACCACTTCCTGGAGGGCTGACTGTTCAGACTTTTAACGGTGTGAAAGTGGCCACCAGGTCTGGCAATTATGAAAAAAGGCTCCTCATGCTCCAAAGCGCAGCCCCAGGACGAGGTTCTCCCTCCCCACCCCTCCAGCTGGCGCAGCAGGAGAGATCCCTGAGCTGAGCACTGTTGCTCCTGAGGAGGCCAGAGCTGCTGTCAAGGTGTGGCTTTGCTGGAGCAGCTCTTCGGAAGCCCTTGCATAGTTATGGAGGTCTGATGGCGTGTGGAGCAGGAGATTTCAATGAACAGCAATTTGGAAGTGGGAATCGTCGGCATCAGCTTTGCTGTGACTGATGTCTGCATAATGAAAGTGTCATTTTTAGTACTGTTTTCTTTAAAAAACCCTATTTGACAAGGAAGCACAGGAATGTGAGGCTTGAATACATCTTTAAATCTGCATGTCGATTGCATAACTTACAACCAGGACTAAAAACTTCCTCTTGTCATTACAAATGTACGCCCCAAGCGCTACGAGCAGGATCACCACTGGTTGTTTCCAACGTGACACTTTCATTTTCCTTTTGACTCCTCTTGCCACCGAGATAATGTTTCTGTTTCTTGGTGCACAGCAACGTTGCTGAGAGACTCTTGTTTTCCTGGGATGGCTTTCAGCCCCATTTTGCAGAGGAATGGGGGAAGTGCAGGGCACAGGATGACACTGCTCCCACACAAGGGACAATAAACTGCCCTCTGACCTGATCCTCGTGGGGAAAGATCTCCTGAGTGACACCAGGGGAGCTGCTTTGAGGAGATCCGGGTCATTTCTGCAGCAGGAAATGGTTCTGCCCTGCTTGGAGAGAAGCACTGGGGAGATATTTGGGGTTTAAGGGGTTATGGGAGGACTTTGGAGATTAGGAAGGGGAAAAAAAAGACTGAGATGTGATGATAAAGGTCTGGTATTTGCAGATAAAGGAACAAACCCTGCTAGAGAAGGTCAAGTAAATAAAGAAGGTCAAGTAAATAAAGGTATTTGTTTATCAACAAATAAATAAATAATTGCCTCGAGTTTGCCTCCTGAGCTGTGAGATTTGGGGATAAATTCATATACGTTTGTAAAACTGGTTCTCACAATTTTTCTCTGCTAGGATTTTCTAAATGACAGTTGATAAATCTCTCTCTCTTCAAGGCCCATTTTCCAAAACTTCAGGCCGTAAATACAATCCTCATTATGTACTGCTTTTAGCAGCATCCAGGCATAACCATGTTTTTCCTCTTCACTGATCACTGCACTGTAAAGTTACATTTTCCTGTGGTAACCCCCCCAGATTTCTGTGGTTTTGGGCTGCACTCCTACAGGTGCTTAATGGCTTCACTCGATACTTCCAAACCAAATTAATCTGGTCGCATAATTGCGTTGCTGTTCACTAACTTGTTGAACTGTGTGGTAAAAGAGCGCGGTCAGAGTCAAGAGCAGGTTGATTTTCGGAGCGAGAATCCAAGATTTGATGGCACAGGAAGCAGCTGCAGCAGGTTCCTCTAAAGAGCTGCCGTCCCTCCCGTGCCTGTGGTAACCCTCACACAGAAAGCACAATTCCCTTTCACTTTAAACCTGTTTCTTGACACAAATAGTTCTGCCATGAAACTCTCCGCTCAGGAGCTTCCTGCTGCTTTTCATCACGTTACCTTCCTGCTGTAATTTGGGGAATCAGCCATTTCCACAGCTGCCCTTTTATTTCCTTTTATTCTGTGCCTGTTGCCATCGGGCTCGGGATTTTAACTCCATTTTCAACTTTTTATCATTTTCATTCCGAGCTTTACATCTCCCAGGAAGCTATCCCATGCTAGATTGCAGGTTTTTGGCTGATATAGGTTTTTGGTGACCCTAAAGAGGAAAATGTGCAGGCTGCCAGTTCCCTCAACCATTGGAATAATTGGAAATAGAAATGGTTTGGAATGATACATTAACTGTGAACATTAGCCACTAAGCATGCTTACTGGCTACTTTGATCAAGCTCTTTTTTTCCTGACAAAACCCCCTTTGAAATGAATAGGACAGAGGTTCCTTTCACTTCAATCAGAGTTCTCAGACACGAGGAGAAAGAAGGACTTCATAACCTTTAAAAAGACTCCCCTCGTCCATTCATGGATCTCCTGGAAAGCTCAGCACTTTCCCTTGTTCTGGAGTTACTAAGCCAGCCTCCTGGACACTTTTAGGCTCCCTTCTGATGAAGATTTGCTTAAACATGAGATCAAACCCCTCTGTAACGAGGCTGGAATCCGGGATGTACAATGGCAATGACACTGGGAGTGTTTGATAGCGGGGATTCATCAGCATCACTTCCCTAATTGCATCCTCTGAGTCTGGAGCTGGCATGGTGCAGGGGACAACTCTCCTGAACACTTATATCCTGATTGTTTTTGTGTATTTACACTCAAACCATCAGCACCCTAAAAATTCCAGCTCTCTTTTAACACCTTACAATCAACCCAGGCGTCGAACAGCCTCACGAGGCTGCACAACACTGCTCCTTGTCAGGGGCCAAAAACACATCTGGAATTCTCTGTTTCTGTATTTTTTGTGCCTCTTTTGGTTTGGTTTGGTTTTTTTTTAATACCTCTTGTACTTATAAGGTAACAATAGAGAGCATAGAACTGGTACATGCACACGCCATGTCACGTTGCAATAATGTACATGGAGATGAGTACAAGTGATGCTTGTGCTTGGAGAAGATAAATGCAGTGAGAGATGTACTATCAGCAAAAAAAAAAAAACAACCAAACAAAAAACGAACAACAAAACCAACAATATAGAAACAGGATACATTTGCTAAAAAAAGACCACCAGGCTTGAGGCAGCCACGGTGAGAACAAGGATTCCTTGTGTTAAATGTCACTGTGGAGAGGCAGAACAGAAAGCCCCCGAGCCCAAATGACTGACATTTCCACTGACATAGGTGTTCCAGTGAAATCTGGGGATTTTCACTCTACCCAGTGCTCAGATGTGCATATTCAATCCCATCATCTCTACAGAAAACACAAAGACAGGTCAGAATTCAACTACTGAACAAATAATTTCGTTTGAGGCGTGGTTTCCTTGATTTGTGCATCAGAAATAACTTACTGTATCTACAAGTGAGGTACAGCTCATATTTTTTTTACAGCTAAAATTCTTCAGAAAACCTGTAATATTTTACCAGTGGAAGAGGTCAGATTATGCACTTAGAAGATTGATGGTTCTGGCTTAAAGCTAAACTAATGTAAGCTGAAACTTTAGTTTTGCCCATGTTCAGCTCTGTGCAATGGCTTTTTTGACTACATAAAAAAAACCCTCTGTATCCCACAGGGCATCATTTTAAAAAAAATTGCATTGCTTGTAGAAATAAAATAATGGGATGAGCGTAGGACTAAGAGCCACCTTGAGGGTAAATACGTTTCATTTCTGTTCTTTTTTTTTTTTTATTATTATTTTTTAAGCAGTGAAAAAGAACAGAACATGCACACAAAGGGAAAAGGTTATTATTATCTATTGTTCAGCTGTGCTGACTGAAAGGGGAAACAAATCTTAGAGCAGTGTGTAAAAATGCCTCTTTCTTGCAGAAGCAGAAAGAGGAAAGGTTCTTTCTGTCCCTCAACTACTCAAGGAAGTACTTGAGGAGGAACTGCCTGTTCCACTCAGCTGCCTCCCCTCTCCACACGTGTGTCACCTGTGCAGCAGAGGCTGTTACACACTCCAGGTGATGGAATTCGCATGGAAAATCCAGCTCACGCAGAAAGGCATCACAATGGCTCTTGGAAAATGCCAGCCCTGTGCTGCTACCAATTAATCATGAGTCACTTCAGGGGGATCAAACCCATTTTGGGCGTGGGAAGTTTGGCCGCTTCCGAAACGGTGCAGAACTCTAAATTCTAGGCTAGGAACCATAAAACTGTTAAACATTTATCTGTTCATTCCAATCCAAGAGCTGTATGAATAGAAAAATTTAAAGGGAATTATAAATGTGCAAAGTATCACAGTTCTGTGTTCCTTTTCTCATCACCTTTAAAGCTTCCTTTGCTCACATGACTATTAATGAACATTTACCTGATGCTTTCATAGGAGTTAATCCAATTTCCACATCTCTTTCCCAAGTTAATTTGGGTCCGTGGCTGATGAACATAATGTTCTTGCTCTTTCTTTTTGCCTCCTGTGTATTACTGTGCTTGTTTCATCTTCCTTCTCTCTCTCTAGCTGACACAATTCTTTATTCTTCACTTTGGAAATCATGTGTTTGTCACGAACAGTGGTTGTATTTGCTGTACAAAAACCTTGTAAATAAAAAAATGCAACAGGTAACTAAAAAGGAACGGCAATTCAGAGACTGAACCTATTTTTTCCTAATTAAAAAATGGAATGTTAGGTACAGCTGGCACTGTGATCCAAATGCTTCAGCTTTGACTAACAGTTTTGGTTTAATTCAGAAGGAGAAGGTTGCACTGACAATCTCCTGTGACAACTCCGAGGTGGAGGTGAGTTCAGTAAACTAAAGCATGATGAGTTCCACTTCAAAATGAGGAAGAACTTTATGTTTAGGGTGGCCAAGAGCTGCCCGGGGAGGTCGTGGTGTCTCCCTCTCCAGACACATTCCAAACCCACCTGGATGCTTTCCCTGTGTCACCTGCTCTGGGTGCCCCTGGTTGGTCTGGATGATCTCCCGAGGTGCCTTCCAACCCTAAATATTGTGTGATTCAGGGGGGAAACAAACAAACAAATAAATAAAATGTGCAGGCAGGAGTTTATTTCTAAGTGACTCAACTCTTTTGACGAGCCCTTTTTATTGCTGGAACACTTTTAAGTTCACATCGGCCAACGAACTGAGGAGAGGAACCCGATGGTTTGTCCAGAGAGCAGGGGACACTGCGGGGACACTGTGGGGACACTGTGGGGACACTGTGGGGATATTGTGGGCTCACTGCGTGGACACTTTAGGGACAGCGTGGAGAGACAGTGGGGACACTGCGGTGACATGGCATGGACACCATGTGGGGACACAGCAGGGAGACAGTGGGGACACTGTGGAGATGCTTTGGGGACAGTGTGGGGAGACAGCGGGGACACTGCAGGGATACAGAGGGGATACTGCGGGGACATTGGGGGGACAATTTGGGGAGACAGCAGGGACGCTGTGAGGATACTGTGGAGATACCGAGGGACACTGTGGGGACACGGCATTGACACCGCGGAGAAACTGTGGAGACTCTGTGGGGATACTGAGGGACGTTGTGGGGACACGGCAGGGACACCGTGGGGACACTGTGGGGAAGCAGCGGGGACACTGCAGGGACTCTGTGAGGAGAAAGCGGGGATACTGTGGGGACACTGTGCGGACCCAGCGGTGACAGTGTCGGGCCGCTGTGGGGCCCCGGCGGTGGCAGTTTGGGGACACTGTGGGGCCCCGGCGGTGGTAGTTTGGGGACACTGTGGGGCCCCTGCGGCGGCACTCTCGGGACACCGTCCGGACACTCCGAGCCGCTCTCCGAGCCGCTCTCCCCGCCGCCCCCCTCCGGCTCCCCGAGGCTCCCTCAGCCTCCCGCCCTCGGCTGCGCGCGCAGCGCCGCTCCCGCCGCGCGGGCTGCCGGGACGGCTGGCGGCCGTGGTTAATGTCCGCCATGTTTGCCATGGCGCAGGGAGCGGACCGAGCGAGCCCGGCGCGGATCTAGGGCTGCGGGGCGTGCGCGGCGAGCTGCGGGCGGCCCCGCCGGGAGCTGCGCCGGGGCGGCGGGACCCTCCATGGTGGCGCGGGCGCGGCGCGGGAGCGGCTGGGAGGCGGCGGCGAGGCCGCACTGAAGGCCCCCCCCCCCCCCCCCCCCCCCCCCCCCCCCCCCCCCCCCCCCGCCCGCCCGGCCCCGGGGTGTTATTGTGAGGGGGAGACAATGAGCAAACTCTCCTTCCGCGCCCGGGCGCTAGACGCCGCCAAACCGCTGCCCATCTACCGCGGCAAGGACATGCCCGACCTCAACGACTGCGTCTCCATCAACCGGGCCGTGCCGCAGATGCCCACGGGGATGGAGAAGGAGGAGGAATCGGTAAGGGAGCGCGGCGCAGGGGGGGCACCATTGTTTACAGCACCCCCCGCGCGGCCGCCGCCGGCCCGTATTCACCAAGCGCGCTACGCCCGGCCCGCCGCGCCGCGCGCGGGGCGCTGCGCAAACGGCGCAGCCTCGGCCGCGCTCCGCGCCGACTGCGGGGCCCGCGCCGCCCGCCGCCATCTTCTGTGTGCGCCCCGGCCGGCCGGCCGGAGGGAGCGGGACAGCGCGGGCGCCGGGCGGCGGAGCGGGGCGGCCTGGGGCCGGAGCGGCTCGGGGGGCCGGAGCGGTGCAGCTGCAGAGCGGGGGGGGTGCCAGGGCAGGCTGCTGAGGTGCCGGAGCGGTGGAGCTGCAGAGCGGGGTGCCGGAGCGGGGAGCTGAGGTGCCGGAGCGGTGGAACTGCAGAGCGCAGTGCCGGAGCACGGAGCTGAGGTGCCGGGACGGCTCGGGGTGCCGGAGCGGGCGAGGAGTGCCGGGGCGGCTCGGGGTGTGTGTCCTGTCAGTTCGGGGTGCCGGGGCGGCAGAGCGGCTCAGGATGCCGGAGCCGCTGCTCGGAGGTGCCGGCTCGGGGTGCTCGCGTGTCTGAACAGCCCGGGCTGCCGGAGCGGTGCAGGGGCTTGGGCTGCCGGAGCCGCTTGGGGTGCGGGATGTCGGAGTGACTCGGGATGCCGGAGCGGCTCCCGGTGCCGGAGCGGCTCCGAGCGCTCGTGGCTTTGTGGGCTGATTCTGATACTACTCCCGGCCGGTCTTGTCATGAGCGGCTGTCAGCTCGCTGGGGCTGGAGCTGGGGAGGTGTCAGCGGCGTGGAACTGCTGCGAGCGGCGTGCTCTGCGCTGGCACCGCACGGGGAGCGGAGCGGGTCCTGTCGGAGGGGACAGCGGGATGTGCCCCGGTCCCCCGGCCGAGCCCGGCCAGGGTGCCGAACGGCGTGTCGGGCTGTCAGTCCCTGCGCTCGGGACACGGACTGTGACTGCTCAGGGGATGGAGGGACAGCCGGGCACACACACACACCCTGACTGCTCAAGGGATGGAGGAACAGCCCGGCACATACACGCTTGTGACTGCTCAGGGGATGAAGGGGTCAGGGATAGCCCGGCACACACACACTGCACGTGTGGGGCTGGAGGACACGGCAGCTCTGGCTCCCCTCGTGGGGCAGTGTCTCCGTGCTGGGGGCCGCCCCCGGAGTTATTTAACGCGGATGTTTTTGTGCTGCTCGTCGCGCATCGCTGGACCCTTCGCGTGTGAAGGGCTGGACCTTTAAGTGTTATTTCCAAGTCAGCCAGAGCGTGTTCAGGTTCGGTATGTGATGTGTGTTCTTCTCGTAGCGTCGTGGGAGGGAAGAGCTTTCGCCCGGTTGAGTAAATGTGAGTTTCCGGGGTTTTTGGTGAGCGGTGGGACAGCTGTGAGAACGCTCGCTTGCTTTCCGGTGCCCTCCCAATGTAGTGGTCTCCGAACATCTCTGCTGTCCGAACGAGGTTCATTCGGTGCTGCCCGGGGTTGTATAAGCTCAGGGGCTGTCGCCCGATGTGTCTGTACTTGCAGGCAGAGCCGATAGTAAAGGCACCCTCCCGAATTTCCTCAATGAATCCGTGTCTCCGCCTCAGCCGAACCTCTGTGCCCGTGGATTGGCTTTTCCGAGGCTGCAGCTGTCAGAGGAGGCTCCGCGCTCTCCTCCGTGCTTTTACTCACCTGACTGGCGATACTAAAAGGCATCTCTGTCTTACCATCCCCGAGTTTTATTTCCTTTTGCTGTTTACTGTGTCTAATGCGCTGTGATCAAAGCTTCCAGTAATTCCTGAAGAGTGGCTCGGCTGGAGTCTGGGATCGGAGTTAAAAGGAACAACGCTGTGGTACTAATGAAGCGATATTGGAGGCTAATTTGGTTTTCTCAGTCTTGAAGGCCTGTCTTGCAGTGCTGTGTTTGCATTTATTGTCTACATTAATTTTTAAGTATTATTGTTATTGTGACAAATCCCGTTTTCTTTTAAACATGTTAATGGAAAATTGCTGGAAGAGTTCAGGCAAACCAGCTGCTCGTGGGCTGCTGAAATAACTGAGGAAGTTTAGATTTAGACTTCAGGAAAACTGAAAAAGCGCTGTCCTGAAAAGTTGCTCTTCTGTGAGAGTGAGGTTTGTTTCCTCTGCGCTGACATGTGGCTCTATTTGGTATGTTATGTAATAGCCCCAAAATGAAATGATGGAAGCATATATATAAGCATAGTGCTTGATGCATCAGCCAGGCAAGATTATAAATTCTGTATTATAAATTCCACTATTCAGATTATTGCCGTGCAGTGATGGTTTCATTCATGGGGTTGCCCTTCTTCCAGCGTTACAGAGATAATACTTTACTGTAAGTTTTTTTGGGGGGAGTGATATGTAAAGCCCTTCTAGGCAAGGCTGTTGTAGGTGACAGTAAATTAAATATCGGAGAAATACCTGAACAGCTTTAATTCACAGCAAATGCTGCTGTGGTCAGTTTGATGTATTTTGAAAGGGACTCTTCAGGGGGGAGGGGTCTCTCCACCCTGATTTCTGACATCTCAGCTACTCAAGTGTCTCAAGGCCTTTTTCTAGCTCAGGTTGTTGCTGGGGTGCATCTTGTGGAAGGTGTTTGAACCCTCCAGGGTAGCTGCTGTTTTGCACCTGCTGGCTGGAATCACACAGGTCTTGTAGCACAGCCTGTCATGGGGTCACACAGCACCTTCTGGGCTCTGTTCCATTGGAAATAACGATTATTTACACATTTGCAGGATTTAAAATGGTCCAGAGCAACATGTGTGTTCTTTTCAGCCAAGTTTCACTAGGACGGACACGTGATTTAATTAGTTTGTGATTGATCTTTTTTCCCGTACAAAAGTGCGGGGTTTGATGCGTTTTTTTCTTGATGGATATCCTGGAACTATTCCTATATGAGCACCTGAGAGATTTATATCCACTTGCAGCATTTCACAAATGAGCAGCTCATTTCTCTCACTCGGAGATTCCAGCTGTGAAAGAATTAGGTTTTCTCTTCTGCAGCGTGTGTTTATATTACCAGTGTTTATAATTTACTCCAAATTAAACCCGGGGAAGAAAATTGCGTGGGTTTGTTTTTTAAACTCAGGTGAGACAGGGATCACTGTTAAACAGAAGCAGGAAAATGCCCTTTTGTGAGCTTCAGACACGGAGCAGGAACACTTGGGGTTGGTTTTTTCTGATGAGTAAGAGTTGTGTTTCCTAACGCTGATGAATTGTTTTGGTGAGAAGGTGAGGAGGGCGTGAAGTTGCAGAATAGATAAGCCCTGGTTTTGTTTCTTATCACATCGCTGTGTTTTGTATTTGAATACATATTACTGGAGATTGCTGAGTTGCACGTTGCGGGGGGGTTAAAAGAAGTCATGTTTAGTAATGAGGCAAATGCAGGCTGAAGGCGCTGGGAAATGAAATTCTCCCGAGTTGTGAGGAGCTGAAAGCGTGGTGGGAATTGGTGATCCCGGGATTGCCTGGGCAGAGCTGTCTCAGCCTTCCTCCCAATCCGTGTTTGAGCATCCATTTATTTACTGTTTGGCATTAGGTTAGAGAGGAAAAGTGCCTGAATGGCAAGTTGAGGACGTGGTTTGATGCTCCTGAAATGTTGACAGTTGCAGTGAGAAGGGACTTCCTTAGCGATCACCTCGGA